GCAGCCCAGTGCTGGGGTGGGGGGGCTGGAAGGGCGACTGGATCCAACTCTCCCCTCTCCCAGCCTTACGTGCCTCCCTCCCTCCCTCCCTCAGGAACCAGTCCAACGTGCGGCGCATGCACACCGCTGTGCGGCTGAACGAGGTCATCGTCAAGAAATCCCGGGACGCCAAGCTTGTTTTGCTCAACATGCCAGGGCCTCCCCGCAACCGCAACGGTGACGAAAATTGTATCCTGGGCTTAAAATTGGGAGGAAGCGGGAGGTGGACGTCAGGGGACTTAGGTCCTGGCCCTGGGAAGGAAGAGTTGAGCCGGGTCTGCTTCAGAATCAGCACCGCGAACAGGGACGCGAACCCAGCGTTCCCCTGGCGCCCAACACGCACGACCCCAATTCCAACGGGAGGGAAGGGGACGGTCTTTCTCCTTGACGGGCGCTCAGACATGGAGTTCCTCGAGGTCCTCACCGAGCACCTGGACCGGGTGATGCTGGTCCGCGGCGGCGGCCGCGAGGTCATCACCATCTATTCCTGAGAGCCAGGACCTGCCACCCGGGCCCGAGCGCGTCCGGCCCGCGCGGCCCCGGAGCCCTCGCCGCGCCCCCCGCCGCTGTCACCGTTTACATACAGACCCTGTGCCCGCGCCCTGGCCCCCTTCCCCGCTGCCTGAAGCCCGGAGGCCACGTCGGTCGGGGCTGACTCGGAGAGGACCGCCCCGCGCGGAGACCAGAGCCCCGAGCGCCCCGTTGGCGCGTCGCCCTGTCGGCCCCGGCTGCCCTTTTTCTAAGCCCGGCCTCGCCCCGCCGGAGGAGACGCTGCAATAAAGGTCGGAGGAGGCGCAGAGAGGAGCGGAGCTGGGTCTTTGAGGACCCCCGGTAGTCCGCGCGGCCCTTTCCCTCTCTTCCCGCGCCCCGCCCCGTCCTCGCTCTGCACCCCTCCCCCGGCGGCCCGGAGGGCGCCGGGTGGGGAGGCTGCGCTCCGCCGTCTACGTCACTTGTCTTCGCGCGGCCGCAGGCGCCGGCCGGCCGAGCCTATACATAGTGTACAGGAGACATCGCGTGTATTTTTAACGTCCCCATATTTCTGTGACTAGAAGCGCAACGGACTTCTCTTCTCGCCACTGTCGAGCTCTCCCGCTGGGGGCGCCCAGGGAAGGCGGAGGCCTCGGGAGACTGGGTTTTCCTTGACGTCCGAGAGTTTTGAGAGCAAAAGTGCTTTAGGCCCAGGCGGGAGTCGTGGTCCCTCGACACCCCCTCGACGTCTCCTCACCCTTTCCTCGCGCCCTTGGCTTCCGACCCTTCCCTCTAGTTCTCGGAGACGAAGTGAGACAAGTGTCCAGCTTTTCCTGGATTCGCCTCCCAGCGGAGTGAGCTTCCACTGTGGCTGCAGAGACGGGCGCAGCCTCCTCTCATCGGCTCTTATGCAAGCTGGGGCCAGGATAGGGGAGGGGCGCTCCTCAAGGAAGAGAAACCGAGAGAGGCCCTCGCCCCACCGAGGAAGCCCCGCCCCGGTGCCTTCGCTGGGGGAGCAGGCGGCTCTCCTCAATCGGCTTGTCGCCTGCTCCCCCTATCCCATGGCTCTTCGCCAAAGACTGAAATCGGGGAGCTGGAGGGCGTCCCTTCCCCTGGAGTTTCCTCCCTGGGACAGATGAGGGAGGCGGGGGCGGTTCTGGGTTGGGGGCCGGACTCACCGGGGAGGCCCCAGCGCTGTCCCTGATGTTCCCTCCTCTGTGTCCATCTGGCAGCTCCGGCCTCGGGGACCCAGCCGCCTTCTCCGCGTCCCGGGGCCCGGCCTCCCTGCCTCTAGCTGCGTCTCCCAGGCACCTGGGCGTGGGGGAGGGCTGGAGTCGCCATGTGCTTTGTTCCTAGCGCCTCTCTGCCCTCCTCCAACTAGGACCCAAGGCCTTTGACTTTCTCCAACACCAGTCCTTGGCGCTTCTGCTCCACCAGCCCGGTTGGAGGTGCCCTCTACCCTTAGGGAAACCGCATTGGCCGGGTTCCCTTCCCCCAGGGCATCTTACTAAGGGCGGCAGGCACTGCAGGCTCATTCCAGCGCCCTCTGGGACTGGGTACAGTACCTTCAGCCCCAGGGCCCTGAACTTTGCATCTAGTTAGACATCCTGCCCACCTCCCAGAGCTGAGGCTACTGGGTACTCCTGACCTCACCACCTCCTTTCCTTTGAGCCCAAGGCAGAGCTGGAGCTGGTGCCACCTAGACTGGGCCAGGTGTGGCTGGAGGTAGGTTTGGATGTCTGCCGGTTAGGCCAAGGCCCCTCTGAAATTTGATCAGGGGGCTGGATAGATTCTTCCGGGTAGTAATCAGAAGTCGGAGGTATCAGACACCAGCACTCCCCACGCTCATCCTCCAAAGAACCTCCCTCTGACAGACGCAGCTGGGTCTAGCCTTCTGGGGTCCTGAGCACTCCTGGGCTGAAGTGGTGGGCTAGGTAGAAGGGAAAGGGGGTATATTAACATCAGTTAGGGAACCAAAGTTGCACTATCTGGGCCTAGACTGTCTGGTTGGCAAGAGCAGTTTCGGTTGATGAAAAGAGACATCCCACAACAAAACCCCAAGTTTTCTGTGCTACATGTGCAATATTTGTTATGAATGTTATCACACGTCACTCATCAAATTATCTTTATAATCACGTAGCTAGATGTTTCATGTCCATTCAAGTGACTTTTATTCTGAGTGCAATATTTCAATAGCCTTGTAGTGATAACTAGTGTTGCTTTTGTTTTAGACGATCTATGTGCAGGGCAATGCAATGAAGTTGAAAACCCTTGTAAATAGGAGAGGTTGCAAACCAAATCAAGAGTATTTATTACTATTATTAGGCCTGCCTTTAACTTTCCGTGTGTTTCAGTATTCCGCATTCTGCCTCAGTATTGATCTTGTGTTCTTTGTGCCAATATGAAAAGGAGAGGGTTGGTTCTTTCCTTTATTGTTGAATGCTCCCATTTAATGCTTTATAGCTTTTATGTATTAATTTTTTAGACTCCCGTCTGCACAAAATGCAATAAAAATAATTTTATTATACCCTTCACAGCCTGAGGTGTGCTGTTTGGACACTCCAGGGGGAAGAATTAGTAGGTGGGAAGAGGGGTGTTAAAAGGTGGCCCTCCAGGAGGACCCTAGACTCTTAGAAACACTGACCACCACTCCAGGTGGGTTGCCTAGTGTACTGATAGTTCTGGGGCCCTGTCCTAGAGGGACAAAGGCACTGGCAGCAGGGGCATTGCACCCACAACATCTCCTATGAGATGGTGAGCACTTCTAGGTCAGGCTCAGCAATGTCAGCATCTTGGTCCCTAATCCACTGGAGGCCTTGTGCCAGTCACTTCACCACACCCACTCCAAATTTCCTGATGGGGCTCTCTATTAAATGCTCTCCAGAGCTCCTACCTGTGACTCTGCTTCTGCCAACTCCTTGCATAATGGGCTGGACAGAGGGCGGCAAGTGAGACAAGGTCAAAACAGGAGAGTACCCCACTCTCCACTCGCCTTTGGCCAGAGAAGGCCTCTTCACAAGTCCTGTTTTCCTTTCCTAGAATAAGAGGATAAGTCTCTGACACAATGCCAGTCTGCCACAAACAAGGATGTTTACATGCATTATAATTAACCAGCAGGCTTTTGCTATGAACTGTACTAGGTGAGCTGCATAAGAAGAGAAGCTAGAGTTCAAAGAGGTTTTGAGGCCTGACTGCAGACTCATGGCAGACCGAAACCAAACAGTGCTCTGTCAGGGAACCTCACCTTCAAACTCTGGGAAGGAGTGCTCACAAAGAGGCCCTGCGGATATTCACACCCAAAAAAGACAACACAGCTTTCACTTTTTCGTTTTAATTAAAAAGTAATCATCTCATCTTATTAACAACACAAAAGTTCCAAAGAGGAAAAAAACACTATATAACACAAACAGGTCAGAACATAAAATGCTGCCATCTGGGGACCTTGAGTTTTTGAAACAACTGTTTACTCAGCCACTGGCAGGGACTCAGGTGAAGTCACTGCTCTCCCTCGTTTCTGCCAGGGGCCCCTTGAGACTGATCCACAAGGCTCTAATGAGCACCATCCCTAGGGAGAGGGCAGCTGCCTTTGTTTCCATGTAGAGCAGCAGCCAGAAGTCCTCCCTCTAGTATCTTCACTCTGGCTCAAAAATTATGAACAGCTTCCTATATCAAGAACATGTCCAGCTACCAAAAGTCTGACATCAAAATGGTCCCTATCTCCTGCTGCTTAGAAAACAGAACAAGAGCCTGATTTTTGAGCCAAAAGCTCAAAGCAATCACTGAAAAAAAATGGGTGTTCACTGCCAGAGTCTAGAGTTGCCTTCTCAGAGCCGATTCCATGAAACTACCACTGGTGAGGGAGAGGCTAACAGAAATATTAGGGGGTAAGAGTGGCTGGGGCCCAGATTCACAGTTTGGGTTAAACTGCTGGTGACTGGAGCTGTGCAGTCCACGGGAGATCTTTCATTGAAATGAAAGCCAAGAAGAAAAAAAGAGAAAACCAAAAACCAACAACCGTGGGTCAGGCAGAAAAGTGGCCGGCTTGGCCACTCCTCAACAACTCCAGTAGCTGAGTAGCCAGCCGGCTTCTGAGTCCTCAAGCAGACCCCATGTTATGTGGGATGGGGTAAGAGGACACCGTGCCCACCAAGCCCAACCTGCTGCTCTGGAACCCGACACAGGAGCTGCAGGCAGGAGCTCGAGCTCTGGTGGGCCTGTGCGAGGCTGGACACCCATGGTAGGTTCAGAATGAACAAAGGCAGTGGCTTTCAACATGAAAATGCTACCCCAAGCTCACCCAGCTGGGGCTCAGCTGCTTCTTCCTCCCCCGCCCCACGTCCAGCTGACAGAGACAGCTGAAATACAAATGGAGCCCAGACACCTATACTGCCCATGACCCCAGAGATATTTACTTTCTACCAAAAAAACCCACAAAAAACCAAAAACAAAACCCCCCAAACCCCCACCCCACCACCACCAAAATACACCTCCAGTGCAGTATAAACTCGGACTCTGGAAGGGGTAAGCAACATAGCCTTGGGCAGAAGAGAGCAGATGGTAGAAACTTATGACATTCGATGTGGACCTGGATAGGTGCAGAGAACATCTTCCAAATAACTCTATTTAGAACGCAATAGGTGGGAGGCCAGAGGAAGAGGGGACCAGGGGTAGTTGAGATTTAGCCTCAGTAATGCCTCTGGTATGATCCCATGGGGGCCTGGGGCCGCCCCACCTGTGCTGTGGTCTGGCTAACCAGGTGGGAGAGAGCAGGGCCACTCTGGATCAGAGTGTCCAGAGCCTTCTGTACACTTGGATTGTCAAAGTTGATACCTGTGGAAGACACGGGCCTCTGGCTAGCCAAGTTGCTGGCGGGTGCCAGGCGAGTGGAAGGCTGGCCAAAGAGCCCTTGGGAAGGAGCCCCAGGCCTGGGGCCCATGTTCCGAGCAGATCCTGCCTGTCCCAAAATGTTTGGAGGCTGATTGCCAGAGGCCTGTGATCTTTGCTGAGGCTGGCTGTTCGCTGCTATGGAAAAATTCTGGTTCTGGGTGTTTCCGGCAGCAACTGAGGGGGATGCAGAGCTGCTATTGGCCGCAACCGTGCCACTATTGAAGAGGCTGAGGATTTTGGCCTGAAGCTCTTGCTGGGAGGTGGGGGCTGCCGCTGGAGTGGGTGTAGCAGAGGGGAGCACTTGGCCGCTCTGGAGCGTTTGGGAGCTTGGCTGTGTCTTCAGCGAGGCACCCGAGGTCGCCCCGAGTGGTTGACGGGAAATCGGGCCTAGAAGACAGAAGGAGGAGGTATCTGGTTGAAAGTACCCTCCATGGACAGGAGGCTTAGCAGCCCAGGGAAGAACAACAATCACTGATCACATCAATCACACAGTACACAGACTATAACATCAATTTCCCAAAGGGGCCACTTCATGGTACGTGCTGTTCCCAGAAAACAGCTTGCTTCCTCCAGACAACTACTTAAAGAAAGAAGGGCGTCCACCTTGGTTCCCAGGGAGCCAGCATACTAGCCCACCCACCACGTTAACTACAGAGTTCAGAGCCCAGGTCTTAAGTTATCATTACACCAGCATGGCTGGCCCACGGGAGAGCCCAAGGGATGCGCTCAGTTCCCTTGCCCACCCCAAGAGCCCTGGGCCTGCCACCCTCCCAACAGAGCCTGGGGATTAGAGAAATGCAGAGTCAGAACTTCACCTCGGCCCTGCCACGTAGCTCACCAGGCAGAGAGTCGGCGCTGCTCCTCATCAGCCGCTCCTTCCGCTCTCGAAGGTAGTTGATGATCTTGTCAGTCTCTTCAGCAGTGAGGTACCTGTTGTCAGCCAGCAGGTTGATGAGGCTCTGGATGGCTGGAGGGTGCCCCCCGCGCAGTCCCTCCTCAGGGCCTCCCCGCTCTCTCTCCTGGAGGAGGGCTTCATCGGCCATCTTGGCCGCCTGTCTGGCAATCTCCTCGCGTTCCTTCTCCCGGCACTCGTTCTTATAGCGCTCATAATTTCTGGCCACCAGCACCATGGCATCTGCCTGGGGCATGTTGCGATGCTCTGCAGGAGGGAATGACATGAGTTATTTTCTCCCATGACAGATTTGAGTGCCCACCTACTGGACTCTACCAAGCCCTTCCTAACTTCAAATGAGCAAGAAAACCATTTCAGTGACAAAAAGCCTTGGGATGGGGGTGGGGAGAGGTTGGGAGAGGAGGGGGATGAAGGTTGGGAAGATAGGTGAATGGATTTCTTTGGTGGGCAACAGACACCCTTGTACAGAGCTAGTTCCTTGGGGAATTCTTAGATCACAGACGTGTAGTAAAAACCAAAGAAACATGACAGTCTCTCACAGATTCAAAAAGACCATGTGGAGAATAACCACAGGAGGCAGGCCACGGGGATCCAAAAAGCCCTTCTGTAAAGCCTGGCTCTCTACTGTGCTCCTAAGGATAGAGCTGTTTTTTTAATTCATCAGTTCAAAGGTTACAGATTGAGATCAAATTGTGACCCTAAATAACCTCCTCTCCTCACCCCTGGGCAACAATGATTTACAGGGTTGTGAGACTTCTCAGCACTTGATATAAATGTCTTCACACATCTTGAGGACTGTTCCTCAGAAAGACAAACGACCCGCTGGAGAGGCTTCTACACTCTATCGTTACGGGTAAAACTGGTGGGGCAAATAGACAGCCCCAGGGCGGTGGGAAAAGCGAAAGGTGTGCGCTGTGAGAGCAAGCGATGAGCAGGGAATCAGCTGGCTGAGTCTCAACAACCTGGGAGCAAAGGACTAAAAGCTACTTCAGGGAACGGCTTCAAGGAACCTACTCTGGGACTCCTCCCTGTTCTCACGGCCCCTCCACCCACTTCTCTAGCACACTTACAGAGTATCCTAATTGCCTGTTGTAGGCTTTGTCCCTCATTAGAAAATCTGGTGAAAGCAAGGACTCTATTGCATTCAGTGTAGTATGTGCCAGAGCGGCGCTGGAGCTGGCCCTCACTGGTGAGAGCAGACTGTGTGCATCTCTTCCCAACTTGCCCTGAAGCGACTTCATGTTGGTAGCTTGATATAGAACACAGTGGGAGTATTTACACTATGGAAATCAGCAAATGCTATAAACCACACCGCCCCCCCCCACCCCAGAACTGGTTGTTAAACATTTGCCAGCACATCACTGTATATACCTAAGTGCTAAATATAATGTCATATACAGCAGGCCCAGAACTGTATCCAGTGTAAGACTATCAGACGACTAAATGACTCTGCAAGTCTCTGCCGTGCACTTATAAAAGGGCCCTACTACATTTGAGCTGAAATACATTTACCTAAAACCTGCTGCTTCTGAGTAAGGCATAAAAAAATTAATGGACTAGTGACTACTTCTGAAATTCTGACCTGCTTGGGCCTCCATACCTTGTGGGGTTCCAAACATGATGTTGACTGTACAGGAGCGGTGAATCTGGTGTTGCTGGGTGATGACAATAGCAAAGGGAGACCCTCCCCTGCTAACATCCTCCAAGGCTTGTGACAGTGACACCTCTGTGTTGAGGAAGATCAAGTCCACTACCATGCCTAGGTCTCGAACCTTCCGCCCCACAGATTCAGCATAATCTCTGTAGAAACAAACAGGATCCAAGTGAGTACTCCCTGACCAACTCTCAACTCCCACTGTGGCACCTCAGCTAGCTGTGTGAGCTCCTATGAAGACTTCAAACCCCAGCTCTACCAGTGTCTCCCTAGCGCCCTCTTCAGGCTCTAAGAATCTAGACCAATTCCTTCTCTATATTGGCTCAGAATGGCCACACATAAAGTTGCTAATAGCACAGTATTTAGTACCCAGGTCCTTCTCTTGATTCTCTAGTCTGATGTTCATTCCTAAATACCATCCTGATGCCTAAGACTTGTAACACATGTCCGTCTTTGTAGAGGCTACACAACATAGTGGGAAAAGCATGGGTTTTAAATGCTAGAAAGACAGGCTTGGATCCTACCACTAACATTTACTTGCAAAGTTGAAGCTTTAAGCAAGTCCCTTTACCTCTTACAAACCTCAGTTTCTTTACCAGTCAGACAGGATTAATATGGCTCAGCTCATACGTCACTTCCTTGACTTTCTCTGCAATCTAAATCAGATCCTTGATATATTTCTTATAAGACACATCACCAATACATTTATTTCTGTCATTTGTCCAACTAGGGTATAAGCTCCACAAGAGGAAGGGGCCATGTGTGTTTGCTTATTAGCATTACAGCTCCAGGACCTAGCACCTGTCACACATAGAAAAAATTTGATGAGTGAATACACATGAAACAGGATTACTGTGAAGATTAAAAAAATTATTTAAGTGCCTAGCATGTAGTGGTACGGAGTAGGTGCTCAGAAAATGACATTATCATGATTCAAAAAGGCGGGGGGGGGGG